TTTTTGAGAGAGAGAGAAAGACAGAAACAGAGCGTGAGTGGGGGAGGGGCAGAGAGAGAGGGAGACACAGAATCAGAAGCAGACTGCAGGCTCCAGGCTCTGAGCTGTCAGCACAGAGCCCAACGTGGGGCTTGAACTCACCAACCGAGAGATGCTGACCTGAGCCAAAGTCAGAGGCTTAACCGACTGAACCACCAAGGTGCCCCAAGGCTGGAATTTTGTCAAGGAAACTTTCATGGGGGTTCTGGTCCTGAAGGTATAAACTCATGATCTGGTGCTCCCAGCACCAGGCCTGGACCCACCCTTCCTTTACCCCACACTTCTTGAGTACCTGCTGTATGCCAGGCTCTGCAGAACGAAGAGGAGGATCCTGGTGGACTGCTCATTCTCTGATTCCCTCTTCCTTCCTTCCTTTTCTGTCATTAATTGCTCCATTCATTCTATCATGTATTCAGCGGACTCAGGTACCGAGTCCATACTCTGTTTCAGGCCCTGCGTGGGGCAATGCTGGGCGTGCAGCCGTGACCAGGATAGCACATGACTCCTGCCCTCACAGAGCTCACATGCTTTCTTACAAGGATGGCCCAGAATGGTCGAGACTGGGATGGGAGAAATGCAGGGGGTTGTGGGAGCCCCAGGGTGATGTCTGCCCTAGGCTTGTGCTGGGTGAGGCTGGGAAACACAGCAGGAACTGAGACAGTTCTAATCCCTGCCTCCCTCACCCCTAGGTCACTGACAGTTGCCTAGGGACAGATTTCCCACCCTGTGGAAGTTATTCTAAAACATCCATTTGCTAGGGTTTGGGGGGAGGGCTTTCCACACCCATACGGGGGACAGAACCAGTGCAGAGCTGTGAGCTGGGGCCCTGACGTCAGACAGGGTCAGATGCTAGCCCCTGCTTTACCCCTCAACCTGTGAGATTCAGGGTGAGTCGTTTAGTCCCTCCATGTGCCTCGCATCACCTGGAACCTGGCCCAGTCCTGTGTGTGAAGTGTTCTCATGATCTGCATGTTGCACTTGAGAGGCTTGGTTAGGGGAATGGACTTGCCTAAGGTCACAGCCAGGATGTGACCCAGCCGGGATATGAAGGATGTGAACGCTGCTGTTTTCTCTCCCTCCCTCCCAGAAAGGAGGGATTTTCCTTGTTCCTAGAACTGATGCTAGGCAAGTTGGCTGGTGAAGGCCTGGAGGGATTATTTCAGTTCAATTTCAGAGGCATTTCCCATTTTCTGGCTCTTGAGCTGAGCCCCGGGCAGGAGGGAATCAGTACTTGGCTTGTTTGTCTCTGCCTTGTCTGGTTCCTCTGTCCAGCTCTACGCCGGGTTCCCTGTAGTTTTCTCTCACAAGCTTTGCCTCTTTGCCTCCATCTATCTGTATATCTCTGTGTCTCTCCCTGTTTTTCTCTACTTGCATCTGCATCTCTCTGACTCTTTATTCTCTTCTGCCTCCCTCTCTTTTTCATACACTTTACCTTTGTTTTTGTCATCTCTCTTTCTCTCTGCCTTCATTCATTCATGCATGCATGCATGCATTCATTCATTCATTCATTCATTCAAGAAATATATATCAAGCACCTAAGGTGTGCCAGGCTCTTTTTCTAGGCATCGAGGATACATCTGTGACCAAAACAGACAAAAATTCCTGCTCTCACGGAATGACATTCTAGTGGGGGAGATGTCATATGTATATGTAACATATACAGTGTATTAGATAGTGCTAAGTTGGAGAGAGAACGTTAAAGAAGAAAGCCAGGAAGTGTTGGAGGGTGATCAAGAAGGGCCTTGCTAAGAAGGTGGTATTTAAGTAGATGTTGAGGGGAAGAGCGTTCTGGGCAGAGGGAACAGCCAATGCCAAGGCCCTGAGGTAGGAGCGGCTTGTTTAAGGCAAAGGAAAATGGGATGTCCCCAGTCCCCCTCCACCGGGACTCTTGGGCACTTTGTACTGTGGGCAGGAGGCCAGGCTGCCTGGGGCTGCGGTCCTGGCTGGCTCCGGGGTGGTGGGGCTTGGGTCCAGCCCTGCCAGTTCACTCAGGCCAAAAGTCTGGCCCTGCTTGCCAGTGTACCTGCCCACCCTCTCTTCCCATGCCCCACTCTCTTCCCTGTCTCCAACTCTGTTGCACCCTCCTTTCTGGCCAGCTGTGTCTTTTACTGCTATCGTCTTGCCACTTCTCTGCCTTTCCCGGTTGTCCCTGCCCCGACTCTATCACTTTCACTCCCTTTGCCTCCTTCTCTCCCTCTCCTTGTCTACTGCTGTTGGTCTCTCTGCCTCTCTGGCACTTCCCTGCTGCATTTCTTTACTTGTCTTTCCTTATTTTTTTCTCTTCCTGGGTTTCTTTGTCTTTATCTGTGGGTCTCTGTCAATCACTTCCTCTTAAGGTCTGTTTCTAGTCTTGTGTCTGTGTTTATCTCTCTCTGTAGGCCTCTGCACCTCTCTCTCTCTCTCCCTGAATCTGTGTTCCCCTCCTAATCTCTTGCTCTCTAGGTGTCTCTTGATCTCTAAGTTGCTATCTCTCCATATCTCTTACTCTGTCTGCAGGTTTCTTATCTCTCTCTCTCTCTCTCTCTCTCTCTGGGCTTGTGTCTCTCTGTCCCTCTTTCTTTATAAGTGTCTGTATGTCTTTCCAGATGTCTGTCTGTCTCCGTCTCTCTCTCTCTCTCTCTCTTGCTCTCTCACTCTCCCTCTGCCCCTCTCCAGTTTGTCCCTGGTTCTGCCCTCATTGACGTTTCTTTGCCTCTCCCCCATCCCCGCCTTACTCTCTCCTCTTCCTCGCTCTTACATATGCTCCGGGTTCCTAGCCCTGCCAAGCCTGATGCCCTCACAGCCCTACAACCAGTGCCCCCCCCCCCCCCCCCCCCCCCCCCCCCCCCCCAATTTAGGCATGCCCCAGCCCCTCTCTCCCCATCCCCAGGAGCCAAGAAAACCAACTACGGGCGCAGCAATGGATGCAGAAGCTACACGACCAACTTGGGCTGCAGCACTTCCTCCGAGACTGCCATGAGGTAGGAACTCCAGCTGTGCTGGGCACAGAGACTTCTTTCCTAGGGAGGGGAAGTGCTCCTGGGCTTGAGGCGCTATGGGGGCGGGGACGCCCCGTCTAAGTGGGTCGCGGAGCGACGTTCACTTGGAGCCGCCAGGAGGCGCACGGATTCCAGCCTCAGTGCGCAAGCTCCGCGGCTCCCGCCTCCTTTCCCGTGGAGAAGGAGGGAGGGGCCCTGGGCGCCCCTGGCAACGGCGCGCGTTCGCGCCTACGGGTCCCGCGGGGACGCGCGGTGATCTCACCTTTCTCTCGGGAGATTTGTGAGAAGCGCCTTGCTGGGGAGAGTGGTGGAAGACGCAGGGTCAGGAGCAGGCTTGGGTAGACCAGAGGCCCAGAGCGCAACTTCAGTCAAAAACCAAGCCTTAACCCCTTTAAGAGTGTCCAGCAATCAAGCTCTTTTCCTTTAGAGATGATCTACACATCTGTAAGGATCTCCCCAAATCAGAGATGGTCCAGGTCTCCTTCCCCATTAGAGACGGTTCAGGAGACATGCTATCTCCCCTTCCTTCCCCTGCGTTCCATAGAAACTGCTCTAGACCACATTAGAGATGGCCGGGTAAACATTTTCCTAACCCCAGAGATGATCCTGGTCTCAGCCATCTACCCAGGATCATTGCCCCCTGCTCCTTAATGATCCAGTACCCAAGTTCCTCCCAAACAAGGATGGTTCAGGAACTATTTCCCAATTCCTCCTATTAAAGATGGTTTGACACCCTCCGTGGTGAACCCCATGGGAGATTGTTGTCCCCACATATGAAATGGACAAGGGCCTCCATACCTCCCACCCCCACATAACTCAAGCTCATTAGAGATGGGTCTGGGACACAAGCCCACTAGAGATGGGTCTAGGAACCCCCTGTCCTCCTCCTTCCCAATGGGGATTATTCTGGCAGTCTATCTTATAAGTCCTGGCAGAACATCTTATAAGAGATGTTCCAGGACTCCTCCCATATCCTCTATCTGTATTTCTGAGATAGCCAGGAATCTGAGTGCTTTCTCATTCGATATGGTTCAAGAGCCCACCC